AGGGCTGATGGGACGGGGGGCATCAAGGGCGTGCCGCAGGCCCACAGACACTCGGTTCTGAACACTCCCAGAACACTGGGGGCGGTAAAAGTCGGCATGTCTCCCTCGGCCTCCTCCCTCAAACCCCGTCCTCCACCCACTGCCTCTCCGCTCGTGGCCCCCGGGCCAAAATCGGGGGTCTTGTCTCCGCCTCCCTCTGGGCTCCTCAAAGGCAGCGGCAGCAATAATAATAATAATAATAAAGCCCAGGGTGGGGAGGGGGTCATCCTCACCTCCAGGACACACACACTGAACTCTAAGACCTTCTACACCGCTCGCCTGCCCCTCACCCCCCACACCAAATCCTCCCCCTCTCCCTCCCTCCCCCAGACTCAGCCTCAGTCCAACTTCATCACCCCCATGCACGCCACTCTCACCAAGTCCACACACAGCAGCGTCCCCCCCATTGTCAAACTCACCCCCCGAGCCCCTAACCCGGCTGTCACCACCGCCCCCCCCTCCTCACCCGCCGTCTCTCAGAACCCCAGGTCTCAGGTGACCCCCTCCCTCCACCAGTACTCCCCCCAGACCCAGTCGGGGTTCCGCCCGTCTTTCTCAGGTGGTGCCCAAGGAGGAGCGACCAAACCGGGGCAGAGCAGCTACGCCCCCCCCAACAGCACCAACACCACCAGCCTTATCAACACCTCGTCCATAAGCAAGCATTCAGGCTCCGGTGCCCCCCCCTCGGTGAACTCTGCCAGCTCGGGGCCACGGCCCAGACCGGGGGGTGTGGCCAAGTCCGTCACGTCGGTGTCGTCCTCGTCCGTCTCGTCTCAGCTGCCGCAGGTTGGTGACGTCGCCGGGTTTTGGAAAAGTGTCGTTTAGTTTCAGACCCAGATCAAAGACCTGGGCTTCAACTTCAAAGGAACAAAGAGTAGAGCAGCCTTTGATGTCAGTTTCTGTGGAAATGGTCCTTTAATCAGACAGAGACGCAAGACTGACAGGAAGTTAAAGTACTGTGTACTATAGTGTGTACTCCGCTGCGTACTCCGCTGCGTACTCCGGTGCGTACTCCGGTGGGTACTTCACTGCGGCCTCCGGTGCGG